TATGTGTAGAGTCCTAGCAGGAATGCCCGGTTTAAATTGAGCCGAAATCATACCAAAAGTTACAATCGAATTAAATTTGGTTATGTATTCTACCAAACATTGAACCGGATTGGTCAAAGAACCTTTGAAAAACCTCTCATTGTGGGAGAAGGTTAGGTCGCCATCGAGAATGAATAAGTACAGAGACTAACGAAGACTATGGCGAAAGAAATTCCGAGGAGAAGGTTTGTGAATGTGTTGCTCGAAAGCTTGAAACAGAGCGACTCGGAGAATAGAAGAGAGGGACGAAGAAGGGAAGTTTCTTTCTTTAGGCTCTGAATTCTCACGAATCAGAGACCCCACGCATCTTCACCCACAAAAATGCCAGCTTCTGAAGGTAAATTGCAATAACGAAACGACTTTCCATCTTCGTCTCCCTCAAAATTCCAATTTTGAATTGGGATTTAACTCACCCACATAGATCGTGTCTATGGGTATTTCGACTATGCGAGAATTCGTATGAATTGAATTTTCCCTTTTTGAATTTCCGTCGCAGATAGAAGGGGGAAATGGAAACGGCGAAAGCGAGGGGGATTATCGGCGGCGAGGAAACCGAAGCAAGAGGAAGAAGATATGGAGGAAGAAGACGAGGATAACAACAACAACGACGAGATGGATGACGTTGATAATGCTGATGAGCTTCAGCAAAACGGCGGCGCAACTCCCGATCCGGGACCTGGTATTGGCGAAGTAGTGGAAGATTCTGGTGCTCGCATCTTTGATTTCCCAGCGGTGGTCAGACGCTTAGTGATCCGACCACACGCGTCTGTAACGGCTGTTGTGACGGCTGAGAGAGCTGGTTTGAAAGGGGAGTCTAAAGGGCAAGGTTTGCTTCCGGCTTTGGAGAATATTTCTTATGGACAATTGCAGGCTTTGTCTACTGTACCGGCTGATTCTCTGTCCCTTGAGAGTGATGGAGCGTCTTCGGCTGCTTATGTTATCTCTCCACCACCTATTATGGAAGGAGAAGGAGTTGTTAAACGATTTGGGGATCAGGTTCATGTCTTGCCTATGCATTCAGGTTTGTTTTTCTTGTCTTCAACTCATGAATTTGCTTAGAAATTGAAATAAGTGTTAACTATGTGGATTAGAAGCAAGGCTTTATGTAGTGTCAGATTTTTTTGGGTATACTTGCTATGTAATACATTTCTGATGATTGGTCTGAACATTAGTCATAAGGCTCCTAAATGTATCTTCACTTTATCTAGTTCCTGGTTCCTAGTTTATGCTACTCTGAAAGCAACTTTAGTTCATATCAGATGTTTCTCTATTTACTTATGATCCGTGAGGTGGAATGGAGAAGTAATTGAACTTTTGCATATTATGCTGGCTTCGAGTAGCCCTAGTTGTCTTATATCAGAATTGTACCTTAAATAGAGTATGCAATTGATGTCTTTCTAAATTTCTCTTGTGCTATCTTCCTCTAGTCATGTGGTTTAGCTGAATTCTGTTTTCCCTCTTCTTTTTTTATTCTTATCATTTTGTTTCCTGTGCTTGAATTTATTCTTTACTTTTGCTGTTACATTCTAGCAGATTGGTTTGCACCAAACACAGTGGATCGGCTTGAAAGACAAGTGGTGCCACAATTCTTTTCCGGAAAATCACCAAATCATACACCCGAAAGTTATATGGAATTCAGGAATGCCATCGTTTCAAAATATATGGATAACCCTGAAAAGACACTGACGATTTCTGATTGCGAAGGATTGGTTGATGGTGTTGACGTTGAAGATTTTGCGAGAGTTTTCCGTTTTCTTGATCACTGGGGAATAATCAATTACTGTGCCAGTGCCGAATCTCATCCTGGGCCTTCTAGAGATGTACTGGTTGTTAGGGAGGATACAAATGGTGAGGTCCAAGTGCCATCTGCTGCTTTAACATCGATTGATAGTTTGATCAAATTTGACAAGCCCACCTGTAGACACAAGGCAGCTGAAGTCTATTCATCCTTGTTATGTTCGAACAATGACATCCCCGACTTGGACATCAGAATTCGTGAACACTTATGTGATAATCATTGCAACCATTGTTCTCGACCGCTTCCAACTGAGTACTTCCAATCGCAAAAGAAGGTTCTTAGCCCGCTTTCTTTACCTATGCCTCTTTGTGTATAACTGTCTGACCTGCCAGCAGATGTAGCAGACTCCAAACCTTATCTTGCTTACTGTTTCTGATATTGGACCCTTCTAACTAAATGGTCATCTATACTTGACAGGGGGATATACTCTTATGCTTGGATTGTTTTCACCATGGAAGATTTGTTGCTGGACATTCTTGTATTGACTTCGTAAGAGTGGATCCAACCAAATATTATGGCGATCAAGATGGAGACAATTGGTCTGATCAGGAAACTCTCTTGCTTCTTGAAGCTGTGGAAATCTATAATGAAAACTGGATACAGATTGCAGAGCATGTTGGTTCCAAATCAAAAGCTCAATGCATACTTCATTTCCTTCGATTACCTGTGGAGGATGGTCTTTTGGATAATGTTGAGATTCCAGGTGTGACTAATCCGGCAAATCCTGCAAATGGATATGACCACAAAGGAACAGATTCAAATGGGGATTTACCTGGTGATGTTGTTTTCCTCATCTCAAACAATTTTTAGCTGTATATTATTGGTTGTGATTATGTTATTTGACATGCCATACTCATTGTCGACTTCCCTCTGCAGGATCATCTGAGCAAGATTCAGACACTGAGATCAAGCTTCCTTTTGTGAAGTCTCCAAATCCGGTTATGGCATTGGTTCGTGAAATTTTTCGCTACAGAATTCATATGCTCTTCCCATTATCCTTAGGATCTTTCCAGTTAGCGATATCTGATCCATGGATCTGAGACCTAAATTATATCCATGCTTTTTTTATTGGAAAAAGTTGATCCTCTACTGAATGTAAGTTTGGGGTACGATGATCCTGATACCGAAACCTTTTAGGTTGCATTTTTGGCATCAGCTGTTGGACCTCGGGTTGCTGCGTCCTGTGCCCATGAGTCACTTGCTGTTTTATCTGAGGATGACAGGTTAGTGTATTCTGTAATCTCTATACATTCTAGAATTTCGGTGATAGCTTTCATTTGAATCCTTTTTTATAAATCTTGTGGACTATGCTGAAACTTCTCAATCTATCAAGGACGAAATCCGAGGGAGTGCATGGAAAAGACGCCAGCTTGCTTGATGGAGAAAATCAGCAGCAAGATGGTAAGGCAGTTGCTTGATAATTCTCTGTACAGTAATTTTCTGGCTCCTTTGTTATTTAATCTAACAATCTTCAATACCGACATGCTTAAATGGTAAAAGAAAACTCGGGAGGTCATAAAACGTCACTCCAAAACGGAGCAGAACCACCGACTCCACTGCCACAGGATAAGGTTATGGCTGCATTTAGAGCCGGTCTATCAGCTGCAGCAACAAAAGCAAAATTGTTTGCCGATCATGAGGAACGTGAAATCCAGAGGCTTTCTGCAAATATAGTAAATCACCAGGTAAATAGCAGAACATATTTGGTGATGATGATTTATATGGTTGGTTAATTTGTTTTGTTGATGGTGTTTATTGCTGATGCGTGTAAAAACCTCAATCTTCCTACAGCTGAAGAGGATGGAGCTAAAGCTAAAGCAGTTTGCAGAGATAGAAACACTGTTAATGAAAGAATGTGAACAAGTAGAGAAAACCCGTCAGAGATTTGCTGCAGAACGAGCTCGTATGCTCTCAACAAGATTTGGATCACCTGGAGGAATCTCTCCACAGACTAATAATAATAATAATCTCCAAGGCATGTCTCTATCCACAGGTGGTAACAACATCAATACTCTCCT